CACTCCTGGCAGCTGATTGATCCTGGCAGGGCACTGCAGCACCCACTACAATCAGGACTTCAGACTTCTCCTCCATATGAAGGCGGATGGAAGAGGCCATCTGCCTTCATATGAACAGGAGTGTCAAGGACTGGGTACAGAGGAGGTGCTTATCAAATACTTTTTTCCTTCTCTACTTTACCTATTCCCTAGGTGTTTTTCAGAATTTGAAATATTCACACTTGGAACACTGCTGCCTTTCAACAATCCCACGATATAAGCTAACATTAAGTTCAGACTTACTCCTGTCATTGGGGCTGGTGTTACTGCATTTAATTTCCATAACTACTTAAGGATATGTACTATTATTTCTCCTTTTTATTATAGGGGAGACTCAAGAGAGATTCCAAAGTGCTATGAGTTGAAATGTGTTCATTACCACAAAATGCATGCTGAAGTCCTCACACCCCAATACCTGAGTAAGTGACTTTATTTAGAGGTAGGGTCTGTAAAGAGGTAATTAAGTTAAAACAAAGTTATTAGGATGGACCCTAATTCAATATGATTAGTATCCTTATTAAGAAATACAAATTAAGTCAGACATGCACAGGTGAAAGACCATATGAAGACCCAGGGAAATGACCTCATACAAGCTAAGGAGAGAAGTCTTGAAGAAACCAACCGTACTGACACTTTGATCTTAGACTTCTAGCCTCCAGAATTATGAAAAAATTCTGTTAAGCAAAGCAACCTATGGCACTTTTTTATGGCAACCCTAGCAAACTCATACACAAGGTCATTATTGCCCAGCAAGAATCCACTTGCTGGGCAGCGCCTATGGCTCAGTGAGTAGGGAGGCAGCCCCATATACTGAGGGTGGCGGGTTTGAACCTGGCCCCGGCCAAACTATAACAACAACAAAAATAGCTGGGCGTGTGGCAGGTGCCTGGAGTCCTAGCTACTCGGGAGGCTGAGGCAAGAGAATCGCCTAAGCCCAGGAGTTGGAGGTTGCTGTGAGCTGTGACACTACGGCAC